ATTTTACAAGGTCAACATCACCCTGATCCCAAGCCAGACAAGGACAACACAGAAGGAAAGTTACAGGCCAATATTGTTGATGAACATACATGGAAAAATCCTCAACAAAATATCGGCAAACTGAATACAGCAATACATTAAAGGATCATACACCATGATCAAGTGGGATTTACAGCAGTGACGCAGGAGTGGTTCAACATCAAAAAATCAATCAATGTGATACACCACATTAACAAAATGAGGAATAAAAACCACACGATCATCTCAATAGATGCAGAGAAAGCATTTGACAAGATCCGACATCCATTTATGATAAAAACTCTGAATAAAACGGGTATAGAAGGAAAATACCTCAACATAATAAAGACCATATATGACAAATCCACATCATTATTATACTCAATGAGGAAAAACTGAGAGCCATCCCTCTGAGAACAGGAACAAGACAAGGGTGCCCAGTCTCACTACTCTTATTCAACATAGTACTGGAGGTTTTGGCCAGAGCAATTAGGTAAGAAAAAGAAGTAAAAATTATCCAAGTTGGCAAGGAAGAAGTAAAACTCTCATTGTTTGCAGACAACATGATTTTACATATAGAAAACACTAAAGCATCCACTGGAAAACTATTAGAAATAATCAACAACTATAGCAGAGTTGCAGGGCACAAATCAACTTACAAAAATCAGTTGTATTTCTATACTCTAATAACTAACAGAAAGAGAACTCAAGAATATAATCCCATTTACAATCACAACAAAAAGAATAAAATATCTAGGAATAAATTTAACCAAGGAGGTGGAAGACCTATACAATGAAAAGTATAAGACATTACTGAAAGAAATCAATGATGACATAAAGAAATGGATAGATAGTCCATGCACATGGATTGGAAGAATAAACATAGTTAAAATGTCTGTACTACATCAAGCAATCTATAGATTCAACGCAATCCCAATCAGAACCCCAATGACAGGGGCCAGCCTGGTGGTGTGGCAGTTAAGTTCACAAGTTCTGCTTCGGTGGCCCAGAGTTTGCTGGTTCAGATCCTGGGTGTGGACCCAGCATCACTTGGCAAGCCATGCCATGGCAGGCATCCCACATATAAATTAGAGGAAGATGGGCACAGATGTTAGCTCAGGAACAGTCTTCCTTAGCAAAAAAGAGGAGGATAGGCGGCAGATGTTAGCTGATGGCTAATCTTCCTCAAAAAAAAAAAAAGAAAAGAATCCCAACGACATTCTCCACGGAAATAGAAAAAAGATTCCTAAAATTCATATGGGGCAACAAAAGACCCCAAATAGCTAAAGCAATCCTGAGAAAAAAAGAACAAAGCTGGAGGCATCACAATCACTGACTTCAAAATAAAGTAATCGAAGCAGCATGGTACTGGCACAAAAACAGACACACAGATCAATGGAACAGAATTGAAAGCCCAGAAATAAAACTACACATCTATGGACAGCTAATCTTCGACAAGGGAGCTAAGAACACACAACGGAAAAAGTAAAATCTCTTCAATAAATGCTGTTGGGAAAACGAGACAGCCACAGGCAAAAGAATGAAAGTAGACCATTAGCTTTCACCATGCACAAAAATTAACACAAAATGGATCAAAGATTTGAGGATAAGACCTGAAACCATAAAACTCCTAGAAGAAAATATAGGCAATACACTCTTTGACATCGGTCTTAGAAGGATCTTTTCAAATACTATGTCTACTTGGGCAAGGGAAACAAAAGAAAAAATAAACAAGTGGATCAAAAAGATTATTCACCATGATCAAGTGGGATTTATACCAGGGACACCAGGATGGTTCAACATCCGCAAGTCAATCAACATGATTCACTACATTAACAAAATGAGAAACAAAAACCACATGATCATCTCAATAGATGCAGAGAAAGCATTTGACAAGACCCAACATCCATTTATGATAAAAACTCTCAATAAAATAGGTATAGAAGGAAAGTACCTCAACATAATAAAAGCCATATATGACAAACCCACAGCCGACATCATACTCAACAGACAAAAACTGAAACCCATCCCTCTCAGAACAGGAACAAGACAAGGGTGCCCACTTTCACCACTCTTATTCAACATAGTACTGGAGGTTTTGGCCAGAGCAATTCGGCAGGAAAAAGAAATAAAAGGAATCCAAATAGGCAATGAAGAAGTAAAATTCTCGCTGTTTGCAGATGACATGATCTTATATATATAGAAAACCCCAAAGAATCCATAGAAAAACTATTGGAAACAATCAACAGCTACAGCAAACTTGCAGGGTATAAAATCAACATACATAAATCAGTAGCATTTCTATACACTAACAATGAACTAACAGAAAAAGATCACAAGAACTCAATCCCATTCACGATCGCAACAAAAAGAATAAAATACCTTGGGATAAATTTAACCAAGGAAGTGAAAGATCTATACAACGAAAACTACAAGACTTTCGTGAAAGAAATTGACGATGACATAAAGAGATGGAAAGACGTTCCATGTACATGGATTGGAAGAATAAACATAGTTAAAATGTCCATACTACCTAAAGCAATCTACAGATTCAATGCTATCCCAATCAGAATCCCAATGACATTCTTTACAGAAATTGAACAAGGAATCCTAAAATTCCTATGGGGCAACAAAAGACCCCGAATTGCTAAAGCAATCTTGAGAAAGAACAACAAAGCTGGAGGCGTCACAATCCCTGACTTCAAAACATACTACAAAGCTACAGTGATCAAAGCAGCATGGTACTGGTACAAAAACAGATGCACAGATCAATGGATCAGAATTGAAACCCCAGAAATAAAACCACATAGCTATGGTCAGCTAATCTTTGACAAAGGAGAGAAAGTCTCTTCAACAAATGGTGCTGGGAAAACTGGACAGCCACATGTAAAAGAATGAAAATCAACCATTCTTTTTCACCATTCACTAAAATAAACTCAAAATGGATCAAAGACCTAAAGTTAGGCCTGAAACAATAAGTCTTCTAGAAGAGAATTTCGGCAGTACACTCTTTGACATCAGCTTCAAAAGAATCTTTTCGGACACCATAACCCCTCAGATGAGGGAAACAATAGACAGAATAAACAAATGGGACTTCATCAGACTAAAGAGCTTCCTCAAGGCAAATGAAAACAGGATTGAAACAAAAAAACAGCCCACTAATTGGGAAAAAATATTTACAAGTTATTTATCCGACAAAGGGTTAATCTCCATAATATATAAAGAACTCACACAACTCAACAATAAAAAATCAAACAACCCAATTACAAAATGGGCAGGGGACATGAACAGACATTTCTCCAAAGAAGATATACGGATGGCCAATAGACACATGAAAAGATGCTCATCATCACTAATCATCAGGGAAATGCAAATCAAAACTACACTAAGATATCACCTTACACTTGTCAGAATGGCAAAAATATCCAAAACCAAGAGTGACAAATGTTGGAGAGGCTGTGGAGAAAAAGGAACCCTCATACACTGTTGGTGGGATTGCAAACTGGTGCAGCCACTATGGAAAACAGTATGGAGATTCCTCAAAAAGTTAAAAATAGAAATACCTTATGACCCAGCCATCCCACTACTGGGTATCTATCCTAAGAACCTGAAATCAGCAATTCCAAAAGTCCCATGCACACCTATGTTCATCACAGCATTATTCACAATAGCCAGGTCATGGAACCAAACTAAGTGCCCAGCAACTGATGATTGGATAAAGAAGATATGGTATATATGTACAATGGAATACTACTCAGCTATAAAAAAAGGACAAAGTCGTCCCATTCACAACAACATAGATAGACCTTGAGGGTATTATGTTGAGTGAAATAAGCCAGACAGAGAAAGACGAACTCTGTATGACTCCACTCATAGGTGGTGGTTAACATATGGACAAAGAGAACTGATCGGTGGTTACCAGGGGAAAGGGTGGTGGGGGGAGGGCACTAGGGGTGAGGTAGTGTACCTACAACATGACTAATAATAATGCACAACTGTAATTTCACAACGTTGTTAACTGTCATAATCTTAATAAAAAAATAAATAAATAAAAATAAACACGTGGGCCTTCAACACACTTAAGAGTTTCTGCAAGGCAAAGGAAACGAGGAACAAAACGCAAAGAAACCCAACAACTGGGAGAAAATATTTGCAAATCATACATCCGACAAGGGGTTAATCTCCAAAATACATAGAGGACTCAGACAACTCCACAACAAAAGAACAAAACAACTCGATCAAAAAAGGGGCAGAGGATATGAACAGACATTTTCCCAAAGATATAGAGATGGTCAATAGGCACATGAAAAGATGTTCAACATCACTAATCATTAGGGAAAGGCAAATCAAAACTACAATGAGATATATTACACCTGTTAGAATGGCTATAATTACCCAGACAAAAAAACAACAAATGTTGGAGAGGATGTGGAGAAAAAGGAACCCTCATATACTGCTGGTGGGAATGCAAACTGGTGCAGCCACTATGGAAAACAAGATGGAGATGTCTCAAAACATTAAAAATAGAAATACCATACAATCCAGCTATCCCACTGTTGGATATTTAGGCAAAGAACTTGAAATCAAGAATTCAGAGAGACTTATGCACCCCTATGTTCACTGCAGCATTATTCACAATAGCCAGGACATGGAAGCAACCCAAGTACCCACTGATTGATGAATGTATAAAGAAGATAAAAATGTGGTGTATACACACACACACACACACACACACACACACAACGGAATACTACTCAGCCACATAAAAGGACAAAATCATCCCATTTATAACACAGATGGACCTTGAGGCTACTATGTTAAGCGGAATAAGCCAGAGACAAAGACAAACACCGTATGATTTCACTCATATGTGGAAGACAAACACATGCACAGAGAGATCAGACCAGTGGTTACCAGAGAAGGGGATGGGTGGCGGGGCCTAAGGGGTAAAGGGGCACATTTATATGGTGACTGACAAATAATAATGTACAACTGAATTTCACAATGTTACAAAGTATTATGACCTCAATTAAAAAGCAAACAAAAACAACCTACTTCTCCTTCCTAGTCTTTCCTGGCAAAAGATTCTCAAAATACTCAAAGAGCTATAACTGAGGAAGCATACCCGAGGAGCCTCAGCTGCCTTTGGACCTGATTTAGATCCTGGATCTCGAGGTGTGGGGGATCTCAGGCAAGGGGGAATGTATTTTTGCGTTTGAGAGGAATATAAATCAATGTGTGGCCAGAGGTTGGCCTGAAGAGGTTTCAAAACACGTCCATAATTACCTGACATTCCTCCCAATAAGAGGGAGGGTATCTATGCCCCTCCTCTTAAATCTGGGAAGAAAGTGGTAACTGTTGAAACCAACAGAATAAGGAAGAAATGATGCTATGTGACTTCTGAGGCTAGGTCATAAAAGGCAGTGAGGTTTCTGCCTTGTTTCCTGGAACACTGTACTTGAGCCCTGAGCCACTGTGTCAGAAGTCCGACTACCCTGAGGCTGCCATATGTGAAGAAGCCAGGCCACATGCCAGTACTCCGCTCAGCAGTTCTGGTCTTCAAGTCATCCCAAGCCCAGACCGCCTGCCATGTGAGTAAATCAGCACTCAAGACGATTCCACACCCCAGCAGGGAAGTCATCCCTGCCTTTGAGTCTCCCCATAACCCAAGTGTTGGGGTAATCTGTTATGTGGCAAATAGTAACTTTAAAAAGAATACCGTGTGATAGACAAAATACCTGTGGACCAAGTGCAGCCCACAAGCAGACAATTAATGCTTGTTTGGTTTTTTGGGGGGGGGTCTAATTGATCAATCAATCTTTATAGTGATAGGGCTTTGTCAATTTCACTGTCTAGTTCTGTTTTACTTTTATCACATATTTCAAATCAATGGCTCTTATATCTTTTTGGTTTATTTGGTCAGTTTATTAACGTAAAACACTCTTCTTTGCCCCTTTCAGTGCTTTTCACATCTTCCATTTTGTATACTAATAGGACTGATACTTCTATATTCTCCTTGTTAAGCCCCACCTGGCAGGGGTTTTTCAAGCCTTTATTTTCATTCTTCTAATACTATTTTAAATACGTTTTTAGGTTGGATTTGATTTAAATTTTTTAACCCCTTGTGATATTGTCTTCTGATAAATTGAAACCATCCACTTATATTGTTTGATTTCTCTTCCTAGAATCTTTTTTTTTTTTTGATGAGGAAGATTGTCACTGAGCTAACATGTGTGCCCATCTTCCTCTGTTGTGTATGTGGGTCACAGCCTCAGCATGGCTGATGAAGGCAGGTCTGCGCCTGGGATCTGAACCTGCGAATCCAGCCCACTGAAGCAGAGCACACCAAGCTTAAGCACTACACCACTGGGTCAGCCCCCTTAATTTTTTTTTTTATAAATGTTTTTGGGGCCAGCCCTGTGGTGCAGTGGTTAAGTTCCCACACTCTGTTTCAGCAGCCTGGGGTTCACAGGTTTGGATCCCAGGCACAGACCTACACACCACTTATCAAGCCATGCTGTGGAGGCATCCCTACAAAATAAAGGAAGACTGGCACACATGTTAGCTCAGCGACAATCTTCCTCCAGCAAAAAGAGGGAGATTGGCAACAAATGTTAGCTCAGGGCCAATCTTCCTTACTAAAAAATAAATAAGTGCTTTGTGATTTCTTTTTTCCCCCCATTTTGGAAGACAGACTATGTTAAAAAAAATTTTTCTCTAACAGACTAAAAATCATATATTCTAATTCCATTCTTCTAGAAGTTCTTAAACCTTTCTGTCTCAGGATTCTTTTACACACCTAGATTACTGAGGACCCCAAAATTGCTTATGTGGGTTACATCTATCATTATCATATAATTCACCTGAAAATAAAAATAAACCAATGCTATATTAACATCAAATTTTTGTAAAAAACAAAAAAAATCAGTGAGAAGCGTGGCAGAATTTAACATTTTTGTAAGCCTTTTAATGCCTGCCTTAATAGAAGACAGGTGGATTCTCATAGCTGCATCAGCATTCACTCTGTTGTCCTGTCATTGTCATGTAGCCCCTGGAAAACTCCACCATACACATGTGGCAGGAAAACGTCAAAAGCAAAGCATGTCTTAGTTTTCTTAGCGAAAATAGTTTTGTCTTTGAAGAGTCTCTCTAAAATCACTGAGCTTGCTCTTTTAACTCTGTTTTAAGTATCATGTTCTTCATCTATGAGCCTGGGGCCTCTCTGGTGATTTTGGCTTTTCTCCAACGTTGGGCAACACCTGGTACTGTGCTGCAGATCCCTGGAATTTCCTGCTCGCCCATCTGAACCCTGTCTGCCGCAGCTGCCAGTAAAAGGGTGAGACGTGCTGCCAGCTCTGATATGCTAATAGCTAACCTTCTCAGTACTGGCATCCTCTTCCTTATGGAGTGTAACAGAGTCTACATCTTCCCCTTGAATAAGGCACTTTGATTCATTCTCCCGTATATTGGTATCAGTTTAGCAACAAGTTCAACCAGTTTCCTTGCTTATCAATGCTTCCTCAATCCCATTTCTTTCTCTTATGTTAGTTTTTCATCTCAGAACACATCCTGTAAATGATGTATCTAATTATTTCTTACACAGTCTAGGCAGTAAAATTTGAGGTGGTGCATTTTTAAAGTGGCTCTAATTTGCCCTCAGATTCTTCCCAAACTGACCTAATTTTACCTATAGAAAGTATGAAACATACCTCAAATCTAGTCATGTCAACTTCTTCACTGCTCTCCAAATATGAGAGATTCATGCCATAACCTAGTACCTATACTTTTGTTTACTACTCCCTTTTTTAATGCCCTCTCTGCTTATTCAACAATTTACAGCTCAAGGTCAAAGAACTAATTCCAACCACCTCCATTCAACATTTACATAGCAAAGGCAGACTTGGGGTGGGGGTAGGAAGTCCCCCAAATCAGTCACCTAATTGAGCTAAAACAGGCCGAATAGTCAGAAATTCTACTAAATCTTCAAAGTCTACTTTAAAGTCAGATGTCTAATGAAGCTAGTCTACCCTGATCTTGCCTTCTAATAGTTCCCTCAGAACCCCAGAAGTCTGAATTTAGAATGGTCCTTAGCAACCTATATCAACTACCTCATCCTACAAATGAAAAACTGCGGCACAGAATAGTTACTGCTTGTCTATGGTCAAATGGATAACATGCAGAAGCCTAAAATTTTCTGATTCCACTTCCAGAATTTTGTTCACCTCGCTACATTAAGCATCCAAGTTCAACACTCTACCATTATTTCATGTACTTGTTTTAACAGTTTGTTTTAATCATTTGTTTTAATAGTTCTCCAGGTGACATTAATATCCTACCTGGGCTCAGAATCACTGATATTGAGTCTCTCAGGCTATAAGGAATTTGGATTTTATTTGTAATCTAAGAATGAAACTAGTAGGACTGATGTACTTGTTGTTAGGGGAAGAAGCAGAGGGGCAAGAACAGAAAATCCTCCATCCTGGAAGTTTTAAGAGATTGAATGAGCATTTATCAGCAAAGCTACATTAAGTGGAAGCTTAACCATGAGACGGTGATGGCCAAAGCCAGGAGTCTGATTGTTAAGACACACTAAACAATCAATAGGTACTGTCAGGTCGAAGGGAAAAGAAAATCTACAAAAGAGGGAACATTTGAAGTGTAAACTGCTCCAAAATAGACTTTATTAATCTATGAGTTATTCGACTAAATGGGGACTTATTTATGCCCTTATATTGCCATCATATGTAAATTATGTAAAGATTTAGTCTTTCAATTAACATTTCAAAGACAGAGAGCCTACTTACAAAGTAAAAATGTTGTCTTCAACTGACTTAAAACCTAAACTACAAGCCCCATATTTTGACAGTTATATTAATTAATCCAAAGGAAAGTTTGAAGTTGCTTTTATTTCACCTGGAATATATTTTTCCTTTCAAACTAAATATGGATAATAATAAATTGATATAGGAATACAACAATAAAGATTATTCTAACTCAAAAATATTTATATCTTAAAGCAACTGAAATTTGAAATATACTGTTTCATCAACTAGGTAATTTTCAAGTAATGCTCTTTTGCCTTTAATTTAAACTCTGAATACACCAGTCGCTTATTCTGAGTTCTCTCATTTGCCTGCATTCTTGCCATCTTCCCTATATGATGATGACAGGTCAGGTTATTTTAACCTTAGTGCTGTGGGAAAATATCCGGCTCCACTTCTCTCATTTATCGTATCCATCTGGTGCCTCTAGGCATTTCGATTTTATAAGGCACAAAAACAAACTCAGTGCGAAGTTGTTTCTAGTCCTCTTCAGTTAGCTTTGCAATATAAATGATATTTTTATGGTAAAATGGAGTATTTGATAAAGTCACGATAAAATCAATTATCCCAAACAATAAAACATATCTATGGCCGGCCCCATGGCCTAGTGGTTAAGTTCGCACGCTCCGCTTCAGCGGCCCAGAGTTTTACTAGTTCAGATCCTGAGCACGGACACGGACATGGCACTGCTCATCAGGCCATGCTGAGGTGGCGTCCCACATGCCACAACTAGAAGGACCCACAACTAAAATATGCAACTATGTACTGGAGGGATTTGGGGAGAAAAAGCAGCAAAAAAAAAAAAAGAAGATTGGCAACAGTTGTTAGCTCAGATGCCAATCTTTAAAAAAAAAAAATAAAACATCAAATTGAAAAATCAATGCAAATTCATAGCATTTAATATTTAAGCTCAATATTTCATTAAGTTGAATATTTAAATTCAAAATACAGTTTTAAACAAGAAAATTACCTTTCAAAAGATGATTCAGGTCCATTGTGTCATGTAAGACTTTTTCTTTATATCTGTGGTCTAAACTGGGCTCTAACACTGAAGACTTGGAGGTGAGACTGGCCTCGTGTTTTTCCTTCCCTTTTTTGGCCGATTTCAAAGATTTTGAATTATTTTTTAAGTCCTCAACATTTTCATATACTTCTTCACTCACGTTTTCTTGCCTTTTAACTTTTACTTTCTGATCGTTTGACGCACCCAGTTCAAAAGACTGAACAGGGCTGATGTCTGGAGTCGACAGAGGAGTTACATCTGTGACAGTATCTTCAGATTCCTCAGGGTATTCCCCGACTTTTGGGTTACGACTTGAAGGTTGCGTTCCTGCTGATTTTCTTCCTGGTTTATACTTCTGTTTTGGTGACAAGCGGGTTACACCAGATAGACGGTGCTTTAATGAGGGAGATGAATCAGATGTGCAGCTACCAGACCCTGCATCCGAACAATCTGTACCTGAACTTGAAGACGAGGAGGACAACGAGGAAGAGGAGGAAGACGAACTACTTCTGGAATGCGTTTTACTTGCGCCTTTTTTAAAGTTATTAGTTGTTTTAGCTGACTTGGACCTGACATGATGTTTTCTTCCATCGTCACTGCTCTCCTCTCCATCTGTATAGTAATCATCTTCACCTTCTTTCGCAATTTTGGGAATTCTATTTGGAACAGGCAAGTGTATTTTATGTCCTACTGCAGCATCACACAGTGTTTTTGATCTTGAAGAAGTGGCCAATGATAAAGAATTTCTGGTTTGTATATTATCATTATTAGAGTGTTCTTCCGAAGGAATTTTCTCTTTTCTTTCATTTCCTTTCTCAGTAAGATAATTTCTTTGTATTCCAAATTTCAAGTTTTCTGCATCTTCATCTATTCTCTCTTTAGGGTCATCATTTTGCTTGTCAAAAACTAAGCTACTTTCACACTTCTCTGCTTCTTCAAAGTCACTGTCAAAGAAAGAATGGTCCACTTCACCTTCTGATATATCTCCAAACCGATCCATGATGGTAAAAATCTATCTGAAAAAGAGGAAAGTTTAACCATCAGACTAAAGGGTAATTTCCAAATGCTTTTCATTTTTATACAGTAATTGCATAATTTTCCCAAACTGAGAAGTTTGGTTAATATATAAAGAGAAACATGACCCAAAAAAACACAAAAACCAATAACTCAGTGAAGTGATAATGGGGCTACAGGGGTAATAGCAAGTTGTACTAATGATTTGAAAAAATAAGTCTAATAGTTCAGTTCAAAGAAAATAACAGATCATCAAGGCAGGCATATTACAAATATGGATACCGAGGTGAACCCTAAGGAAAATCTGCCTTCTGTAAATTACGTACAGTTAGAGTTCAGAACAAGAAAGGATGGTGTTAAAACCTCCTAAGATCAGCTAAGAAAGCCCAAACACACAGTATTTTAGTGGAAACAGTTGAAGGAAGGTTGACAAACTTCCCCGTGTCAGGACCTATCTTTGTCCTGTTCTCCTCCTTCACTGCAGTCGGTGGGGAAGAAGCAGGAGACAACCCGTTCAAAATAAAAGCTCCCCTCTCTCTTCTTAAAGAGGAACAAAAACTGTACGGCACACATGCAGGCTGTACAGGTAGCTCAGAGTCAAACCTCTGAAAATTTAATCACCTGTGACATAACCACATACAGAGGATGACAGGGGAAGAGTCTCACTATGTTAAAGGAGTCTGGGATAAGATATATTTCATCACAGACAAGTTACCCAAAATGGAAAAATTAAAGTATATTATTTAGACACATGGAGTTAAATATTAGAAGAAATGGAAAAAATGTTCAAAGTAGTTGCCTCGTGCACGGTGCAGGGACCACTGTTTTAGATACAGACCTTAAATTACTAGCTGAGCTGTAAATTTATGTATGTACTACTATGATAAAAATTAAAATTGCTTTGAAAATATTTAAATACTGCATACGGCTGGAATTAAATCGGAAACGTCACTATAAAGTCATAGCCTCTAAAAGTACTTTTCTTTCTTATTGGTGTTAGCAGCAGTGTCATACTATTACTAATAATCTTAATTCAGAGCGTGACTTCTAATGTTATTCTCCACCAAAAAAAAACAAGGATTCCTTGGAAGGCAGCTGATTCCATTTCTAGAGGCAAAGAAAAACAAGAAAGGCCTGGAGTATCTCATTGTTGCCAGAAAGCACAGTATTCAAATATGCCTCGGATAGTAGTAATAAAACAAAGGATCCAGTTTAAAGGGGCTTCCACTTTCTAAGGCAGACAATTTAGCACTGAAAAACAGAGAACACAAAATATACATAAAAATGAAAAAGTAATTCTGTGGCAAGTCATGAGTCCATAATGACCTTGAAAGCAGGCAAAGGAGTTATGTTAAAGGAAAGGTATATGTAAATTTCTCATAATAACATATAGTTAACAATCCAATTACATGCTCACTATACTCAAATTATGATTAATCCCATTATATCAAATGAAGCATTAAAAGATTATGTAATCTGTATCCTAAATCAGCCATGATACTCTGCAGCCTTTATTTAAATGACTCTGCGACGTACAAAAACAAGTATAGATGTGATTTTAAAATCAATCAAACTCATACATACCATTAATACTAATGTGATAAATATGATAGGTTAAAGTATGTGTGAAATACATTTTATCATTGGATAATTTTGTCTGCCTTTAAGATTTTAAAGAATTGAAGAGATTCTGATGGATTAAACTTATAAAATCTTAATTGTCCTCAACTTTTAAATGCTTAAGGGAACCCAACTGATTAAATCAGTAAGTTTAGACTTATTAGGTTTATAAACAACAGCTTAGTGCTTAGAAAAATTTCTGTCATTAGATCTATAAGTGTGCCTTGTTGGGTGTTTAGGTACTTAAGTTTTCCTTTTTGATTTTTCTTAAGAAAATCAAATACACTACAATTGTAATTGTGCTGTCAATTAAGCAAGTTTGCAAACGGTGTACAATGTTCAGGGAAATTTAAGCTAGGTGAAAATTAAAGTACAAGTGAGTTCTGAAATTCTAACACACTATTAGATTTA